TGGAAATGTTGATTCAAATTCGGGTTGTCATCATGATTAGAAACAGTGACTCATGTTTGCTGTACCTTGACAGGAGAAGCCCAGTGACAAAGCCAAAATTGAGGTGCCTGGGATCTTTCCATGGAATGGGAGATTTGTCAGTATTTTCGGGGCAAGGGACATGTAGCTCATATAACAGGCATGTCGTCACGCTCAAGGCTCCCCCATTGTTGTGAGAAAAAGGTTCAACATTCTGGGGGCTGTGCAAAGCTTGTGTAAAACTTTGGCCCGGCAGGTTGTTATGTTGGGATGGAGTGGAGAGGGTCATCATCACACTGGAATCTGCGGCGTCATGGACCGTAGGGCATGCACCGAAGCCGCCATGTCGTGTTGGTTGACAGATTTGGGCAGTTCATTCGAGAGCACTTTGCGGAGAGGTGCATTCTAAAGGGCCAACATGAGCTAACCTGTCACAACTCGGCAGGTGAGCTTGCCTTGACTGTCGTCCCCTTTCCCATAAGTAGGCTATGTCGAGGTAAGTCTGAGGGCACCCTATCTCTTTGTTTTTTTTGGTTGGCCTTATTTTGTTGGTGGTGTGGTGTGTGGGTGTGTGTTCTCTATATTTCCATAGGAAAGCTTCTATTTTCGCGAGATTTTTTTGCTCTCTCCATATTCTAAGGAACACCTCTATTTGCCTCTACTTTATGATGTTTGCTTGGAAAGCTCTACTTTCTCTATGTTGTATCTTCATGGGAATTGAACGGAAAAGGGAAAGGACAGAAAGACATAAAGAAAGGACGAAAGAAAGAAAAAGGCATATAGAAATACAAACAGCAGGAAAGAAAGTAGAAAAGAGTGCAGGAAAGAAAGAAAGAGTAAAATACAGAAAAACACAGAAATTATAAGAGAAAGAAACAAAGCAAGAAGGAAGGAAGGAAGGAAAGAGAGAAAGAACGAAACAAAGAACGAAGTGAATCAAAGAAGTAAAGAAAGACACCAAGAAAGAAAGGACACAAAAGCAAGAAATAAGGAACGAAATAAATGAAGAAAGACACAGTAAAATAAATATAAATATAAATATATATATATATACACACATGTATATGTACATATATAGGCATAAAGAAGGCAAGAAATAATGAAATACATACAGAAATACGAGGCAAGACATAACAAGAAAACGAAGGAACTAACGAGAGAAGAAGGAAAACAAATCGATAAAGAACCAAATGAGATACTGTAAATAAAGACAGAGAGTAAGAAAACAAGAAAGACAGAAGGAACACATGTGGCAAGAAAGAGAGAATGAAAGAAATAAACAAAGACAGAATTAAACAGAACAGAAAGAAAGATAGAAAAAAAAAAACAAATGAAGATAGACAGAAGGAAAGAAAAACCAAAAAGCAACACAAAGAAAAGTACACGGAATAACGACACAATGCAATAAATAAAGAAAGAACAGATGAATATGAAGGACGTATCGAAAAGGAAAAAACACTTACCAGATACAATGAAATAAATAAATAAAGAAACAACAAACAAATAAAGCAAGCTTCTCCAAACTAGACTTGAATCCCATCATGCGAGCATTTTGTTTGCACATGGGTTGCCTGCTCTGCCAACGCCCCCCGCTTCTGAAAATATGCGGGACATAGAGGTTTTCCGATGAAAATATAGGGAAAACAAAATAAAGGTTTCTGGGAAAATCAAACAATGGTTTTCCTGAGAATATATGAGAAACAAACGCGATTTTCCTTCTAAAACGTAGAGATATTCTCCGAATGAAATATCGTGACCAGGGAGGCCTTCCGACTAAACCAGAACATCGAGGTTTGCTTATTAAAACCCGGAGACACTGGAGGTTTTCCGATGACAGCAAAGAGAATAAATAGAGCACTGTGGAGAGAGTAAAGGTTTTCCTATCCCCCCCCCCCTCCCACCACCACCACCCAAAAAGAAAGGGCCAAAAACAAATCTCCCCCCTCACTGAAGCCTTGACAGCTCGCTTACTGTACCCGTTTGCCCGTTGGCAAGGTTTGGCCTTGACCCCACGCACAATTTGGTCCAACCCAATTTTGTCCGGTGAACTGGACGGGCCTCTGCTAGGGTCAACAGGCCTCCGGGAAGGGAAGGCAATTTGCGCCTCTAGCGTTCCTGGGCACTTTTGGGGCATTCTGGCCAAGTAACACGACACTGGGAGTGGGTTTTGGGTGAGGAGGAGAAGAGACCATTATCGAACATGGGGGAGCAATCCTGGTCGGGGAGGCCTAATGTGGAAGGAGCCCTCTTCTGTTTAAGTTCTTTGTCGGACGGTGCCTGCTTTCGCCCCTTTGCCACCTTGGGTCATCTGGATCTTGCGTTGCAGGCCGAGAAGGAGATGTTGCGCATCCAGCTGCAGGAGGAGTTCGTCCCGGTGCCAGGCACAGCTTCGCACAAATGGCACAACTTTGAACAGCTCGGCACAACGATCCTTCGGCAGCCCGCGGTCGCTGAGTTGTTCGATCTTGTCGCAGCAAGTGGCAGTTGTTGGTGAGTCTGTCTGCCAGGTAGCATATATCAGCGATCCATTGTTCCAGGCCCAGGCCTGCAAACTGGAAAGGTGCCTCAAACGATTTCAACACTTGCTTGGAACATGCTGAAGCCGCAAGTGTTGGCATCATGGCTGGGAGGGCGACTGAAATCCGTGAGGGTGAATGGGCAGAATGACCTGGATCTCTTTAATGCTTTCATACAGGCTACTACGGCTCGCCGAAAGTCCCGGGGCACCCATCTCAGGCACTTGCAGAATGCAATTGCGCTTGATGCCACATCAATTGTTCTCTTTCTCGCTCTCTCTCTCTCTCTCTCTCAAGCAGCCCGAAGCCTTGCTTTTCTGTGTCCAGGAGGCAGCGACCTTCGGCCGGAAGTCCAGACCTCAGCGAGTGGAGTGCTGGGGCCAGGGCCTCCCGAAATGCTTCGAGTTGTGATCAGGGGAAAGAGTACCTTTGATCACATCAAGCACTTCGCTTCAAAGCTGCCGCCGCCTCGAGATCCCGAAAAGGCAGTCAGTGCCACACCGGCTTGCAGTCAGTGCGAGACAACGCACAACAGCTTGAGCAGAGCATCTTATGCAGTCAGTGCGACCACAAAAACACCAATGGGGTTGCGCTCGGTTTCACTCCGAGGCCAGGTCCTGGCCACTACAGCGAGAAGGCGAGTCTGTTTGTTTTTGGACGGGTGGGGGGGGGTGTTGTGGATCGAATTTTTTCGGACTTTGGGAGCAAGAGCCTCTCAGGGGTCATAATGGGCTTGGAGAGTTCAACAAGTCAACTGGACACCACTCACGAAACAAAACATGAATAGCACTGACACCTTGCATACCTTGCAAAAGCGCATGTTGGAGATGCATCCTGTTGCCAGCCGATGACCAACGAGAAGATCTCCAGGGGCAAGAAGCCTGCTTAAATGGGAACAGGGTGACTCTGTTGAGTCCTCGTGCAATGTCGCATTTCTGCAGTGTGTCTCGGGAAGGTCACGCATGTAGGGTTCTTTGCTGATGTGACATCACGCGACCATAGCCTAGTGCATTACCGAGGGAGAGGGTGTTGATGTGACTTGACGCGTGATGTTGTTCTGACATACATGTGACATAGACCGATACCTCGTACCACAGGCTGGGTCAGTTCTTGGTTCAGAATGCCTAGCATGTAGAACAGCATGCAGAGCTTGGAGAAGAGTGTGAAACAGAGCAGCCACCGCTTTTGCCGAGGACTGGCAGCTTCGGCAAGTCTCCCAAGCTGGTTAGCCGGGAGGAGTCTCTCCCATGTCTGCGGGTCCCCGTTTCCCTTCGCAGACTGAGAAGACCTTAAGAAAAGACAAGAAAAGACACACTCTCCGCAGTCATCTTTATTCACTGTTTTCTCCCCGAATACCGGGATGCGTTCTTGCAAGAGGAGGCCTTCAAGCAGCTGCCGTTTATCTCCAAGCTCGCCTCTGCCTGCGAGGTCCTGGGACTACTGTACAAACTAAGCTCAGCGCAGCGCGATGCCCCCCAAACACAGAAGGACAGCCCAGGAATCATCTGAGAATTGTGAGCTCTTTTCGCTGATTAAAGCAGGGCTTTGGACTCCACAGCTCGGAGACCTTCCACTGCGTGAACCCAGACGAGGTGTCGATGCCTGAGTTCGGTTGTCGAGAAGCTCTCGGAAGCTCTCAGAGCTTTAATCTGCTTTCTGAAGCTCTGTTTGACTTCGCCCAGGTGCAAGCTTCCAAGATATGCCAAGCAACCCGAGCTGCAGCCTGAGCTTATCAAGCGACTCAGACGTCCTCAAAGGGAGACGAATGTGCGCAAGTACGTGAGTAGCCATAAGCTCTCAGGTTTTCCTTCGGAAAGGCTCGGCGGCCGTTCTGAGCACGGCTTCGAGTTCAGATGCAGTCTTGCAGTCGTTCGATGCCTTCGGTGTACAGGCATGTACAGTGGTGGATCGACAGGACGCAAAGTAATGTCTGAAGCACATTCATTCAGGTCTTATAAAGTTGACGGCTCATCAGTTATTGCATTGTCCGAGTGCGATTAGATGGTTAGAGCCTCCTTGTCTGCTCGGCCAGAAACTGGCCATCCAAGCAGTTGCAGAAAAGCGGGTTCCCTGTGCGCTGAAGCAGGCGCCGCATTAGGGGCCGGCGGGCAGATGGGCTGACAGGAAGAGTCCTTCGGTCCCATTTCGTGTGAGCTCCGAGACAAGCCCTAGCAAGCTGGATCTGGCAGAAGGATTCAAGGAGGCCCTTGGGCCCTTGGGGGGCCCTCAGCATTCTTGGGCAACAGCACGATAGTCCTCCTCATCTCTGCCCGACAAGGCCTGTCCACCGAAGGTGGAGCCTTGGTTTATCTTGGTTTCACAGATCGCGCGGCGATGTCAAGATGACTGCGTGCTTGAAACAAAGCGCTCCACCTCTGTTGTGCCTGGCGGTTGCGCCACGGCCGGAGTTTTAGGCATCCGTGATTTTGTCTCAGCGGAAGAGAGTTCTGCAAATGCGTCTGACAGGTTGGTGCAGTCCCTACTTGCAGACGGCAGCTGTCAGTTGTGCGGGCCGCAGCATGTCTGGCGCATGCAAGCTTCCTGGAATTTCGAGCGAAGCCCAGAAAAGAAGCATCCTTACACTTTCAAGTTGAGTGCTCCCCAACGAAGATAAATGCTGCAAGTTTGTGTCGAGGCTTCGGCTAGTCCTTTGCTCCTGGAGGCACGAACGGCATGACTCTTTGAGTTCATGCTGTGCTTGCCGGGAAGGGTTCTCTGAAGGAACAATCTCCTGTCTTCGGTCCCGTATCCTCTCTCCTGTGAAATTCTGACTCAGGAGCCTGGGATGTCGAAGCCCGGCAACTCGGCGCTCTGCCGGAGACTTAGCCCTACCGCACTTCGCAGCTCGAGCAATCGAGAGTCTTTGAGTTTGACTCTGCTGTGAATGGAAGCCGAGGAGCTGGTCGTCGCAAGGCGGGCGGCCGCCACTGTCGCATATCTGCACGATGAACAACAATTGGGGTTAATGCAAGTGTTCATTTTGCGCGTTGCTTCGGCAAAGTCACAATGCTGCCCCAGGCAACTGTGGGCTCTAAAGCAGGCTCTCCGTGGAAACGTGTGTGCATTTTGCTCCGAATTCGCGCTCCTGTTTGAGGACTTGCACGTTGCTTGTTCCAACTCACATTCCCATCACTTTCTCTCAAGCCCAGTGGCCCAACGTCTTTGAGTGCTCCTTGTCTGACGTGTTTCTCCTCACCTCTACGCTTCCGTGCCGAGCTCAGGCTCGAATGGCTTTCCTTGCGTGGTTTGAATTCATCAACTGGGGCGCCCGTGCCTCATCTTCAATGCATCGCGGTGCATCGAGGAATAGTGTGGCTCTTGAAGGGTGATAGCAGGCCCATAGAACAAAGGCCAATAAAGGCAAGTGGCGAGGATGGTTGAGGGCGGGTTGCCGAGGCCACTCAGGCCTCTCCGTGGATGCATGGAACGTTGACATCGTTGGGTCGACCAGGCAAAGAAGGTGCCAAGTGAAGGGCTTCATTTTAATTCATCGGAAGTGCGCTGGTCTGTGCTACTTTTTGTGCTGCATAGGCAGAGAATGTAGAAGGGCACGACGCAACGGACGTATGAAGTACTAAACTTGCTACAACACGCTGATGGCATGCTGATGTTTCCCATTGTCAGCTGCGCTGGCCCTGCGCGCTTTCCTGGGCTGGGCCAGCGAGCTCTGGCACTTACGGTGCGTGCAGCTGGCTGACAGACACATAGGACAAGTGCATTCAGTCAGTTAGCAATGAGTAGGCGCCTTCATCGTGGATACATGATCATGAGGGATCATGACGTGCAACGTGAGCAGTGTCGGTGTTTCAGGTTGGGGTGTAGAAATAAGTCTCCTCTTTGTCCGTGCGGAGGTGGATTTGCCAATTCTCAGCGGATTTTGGGGGTGTGCCAACAGCCAATCATGCAGAGAGAGTTGCCGTTGCTTTGGCGCATGGGATCTCAAGATGCAACCATCTCAAGGATCGCATGGGTTTGGGGGCGGAGGGCTGGGGGGGCGGGGCCCGGGCACCGGCATTCACTGTTATCCGAGCAGCCTTCATTTCGTGTCTGTGGCCTTTCGATGCTGTTCTCTAAATTCGAAAGGTTCTGTAACTGGTCGCTTGCGGCAGGCGGTGCCGCCAAGCTGCGCGAGCGGCAACGGACACAGGCACGGAGCGGCTTGGGACAACTGGGGACCTGGGGACTGTTTCGTTCACTTTATTGTTTTGACGCGTGTTTCTCATGATTTTTTGTTTTCTTCATATTTTCCCCCTCCGAGGACTTCGAAATGCTTCCCGGAACCTGGCTGAGGACTCGGTACTGGGAGGGAGAATGGGAGTTAGAGAAGGGTCGCCTTTTTCCTTTGCGCGTACATTCATGTGTGCAGGTTGGCCTAATTTTGGGCCTTGCGAAAGGTACACGCAATCAGGAAACACGGCCGAAATACAGGCACAGAGTTCCGAAAGCAAGCGCAGAATTCAGGAATCGTCAATTCATACCCCAGAGTCAGGGGGGAGGAGTGGTTACGTCCATGTTGCTCTAACCATGCCCGAAACACTGGTATTTGCACTAAGAAGCTGCAAAAGATGTTTGACCTTGCTGAGGACGCGCTGTCACAAGCCATTTGCGAACGTGCCCTCAACACTGGAATGTTCAGCGTTTTGCGTTTTATGACGAGCATACTGCAGACGAATGTTTGATTTTCTGTCGTAAGTGTTCATGGCTTTTCTGACATGCCTGAAACACTGCTGTTTACAGCATTTTTGCCTCTTTCTAAAACATACTAAACCTTCATCAGCAACCACGTTCATCTCCAGGAAAGGGTCTCTTTGTACTGTAGAAAAGGCTTTGGGGGTCCAAAGCTACGAAGCAAAACCTCGTTTCACGTGGCAAGCACGGTACTTTCGTGCGTCTCTCTCAACCCTTGTACCTTGTAGGGTAGTTGAGGAGCCTTTTACATACGCGGCTGAAGGGCAAAGGTTGCAGTGCTCAGGTCTATGGTTTTGGGATGGAGTCATGTTCTGTTGGATTCTTGTATCCGTGTATTCTTTCTGAAGGGAGCGTGCCCGTGCTATTGACTTATGAATGTGATTTCTATCATGTTTGCGTTTTTCCTTGGGCTTGGCTTTGTGCATCCCTCCACATTGGCCGTGCACTTGCCCTGCTTCTCTTCTTTATGTGCTTTCCCCATGGCTTTGTGGTGCTTGCTTTTTCGTTAACTTGGCTTTGTGCCTGCTCGTTCTTTGGCCGTGCACGTGCCCTCCTTCCCTGTTTTGGACGTCTGTGTTCGCAAAATGAAAAACTGTCGTCTCTTTTGGGCGTCTGGTCTTGCATAGTCGCTCACCGTTTGGGTCTACGCTGGCAGAGTTACTTTTTATTGCTATTCTTTCCCATCTGGGACTGTTGGATGCATCTGTCTGGGGAAGCTTTAGCTGAGACTCAGCTGGGACCTTGCGTTGCTTGAACAAGCCGTGCTGTGACACCTGGGACATTGGTGGACTACTGGTGGACTCGTTCATTTGTCTTCCACTTGATTCCACCTGTCTCCTCTGTGAACGTATCGCCCCTGCATGCTGTGACGCCCGTCTGGGACCGTCGGACTGTCGGACTGTCGAACTGTCGGACTCATTTGTTACTTATTTATCTCCGGCTTGTGTCCCGTTGAGAAGTGAGCAGACTGGATGTTGTGCCTGTCTGAAAGTGGGTGGTGTCTCGTTGGTCTTCTTTTTGTTTCCGTGTGTGTAGAGCTGGTATGTGCACACGAAAGGATACAAAGACATCTGTGCAGACTTGTACTGGTTTGCCGCCGTATTTGGTGTTGTCGAGGAATGTTTCTTCTCCTGTAGAGGTCATCGAATTCGCCTTCCATGGTTGGCAGTCCGAGACCTTTGGAAGGTGGGGCATTGACAGGATTGTGTTGGACAGGCTTCTTTTGCTACGTGCTTTGCCACGCACTTTCATGAGGAAGCCTCAATGGCATGCAGTAGCCCTTGAGTTCCCAGCCCTCTTTTGAAGACCGACATAGGTAAGGTACTGCAATGTCCCACTCTCTAATCCGGCGCCAGCCTGCGCAAGAGACGCCCTTGCAGATATTCCTGGTTGGAGATGCGCCGGGCTCATACATCCGAGGCCGGCTGTAAACCTGCAAGGTTTCATGGAGAGGGCTGCACTGGCGTACCCAAACAATCGTAAATCAAAATCGGTCGCCAGAGTTCTTGTTGCTCTCTCTTGAAGGAGAAGTGGAAGCGCTCAGCCACAGCATCACTTGTCTTGGTCTCGGATTTCCATGTATGATCAGTGGATTTTTGCTGGTATCCTTCATGGATCTCTTTGCAGCTGCGAGAGGACAAGCATGTCCGCGGAACGTCGCAAAATGTCCCCCAACTAGAAGCGCAAATCACGCCACGTCAAAAGCCCTCCGCATCCAGTGGGTAGAGTTCAGTGCAGAGCTCCAAGGACTCCTAAGTGCAAAGAGTTGGTGTCACACAGCTTTGCAAGAGGTGATGACGGCATGGCATCACCGCGCACAGCAGTGTTCGAACGGGGCTCAGTTTTCCTCGACCTCCAGCGCATCTCATCGAGTTCATCAAAGGTTTCATGGAACATGTCATCTCATCGTGTTTTGCAACGGCAGCTCCGAGGCGCCTGCGTTTTACCCTCTCGACGAAGGAGCTTGCCTTTCAGCGGCTGGTTCTAGGCCCAAAGCTGACGATCCTTGATGAATTAGGGCCCAAAGACGGGCTTTCCTTGCCTTGTTTGCATTGCCGCATACCATTTTGAAGCTCAAGATGGCTACTATCTGGTACTGCCCAGGTTGCAAATCGTTTTGCAACTCCCATCCTGGATTTTTCAAGTTAAAGGGGGACCACTCAAAGCCCCGGCTCTCCACCTTGTTGCAGTTGGGGTGCCCAGAATCTCTCAACCTCCAACTAAAACCATCTCAACCCTAGACGCTCCCTTGCCTCCGCTGCTGCCGGCCCATGGCCAGTGCAACCGCTGGCTACCTGGGCCGGTGTCGAGGCATGCTGCCTTAGGAGATCGTCAGTCAGAAGAGGCAGTCTCGGACGGCTTGGCAGTTGTGTGGAGGTGTGGAGGTCTTCGAGAAGCTTAACCGGCTGGGTGAGGGAAGCTATGGCACAGTCCCTGCGGCGAGATTCCTTCACAAGATCACCTGACGTCAATGGCTTCTTAAGAGCTTAAGAATTCGAAAAGGGACCAAAGTGGCTTAAACACATTGACACACGTGTAAACACATATAAAACAACACATTTGCACGCATTTGCACACATGTAAGCACATCTCAACACGTCTTCAAGAGCACCGTCGGAAGGCCACCTGGTTTTGCGCTTTTCATTTTCATCGTTCTGTTCAAATCTGAGCGAGCTCCAAAAAAGTTTTGCTCTGAATCCCGCGCTCTCTTTTCCTCGCCTTTCCTCTGTCTTTACGGTTCTCCGTGCTCCCTCAATTCATCCTCTGCTTTCGGCGTTTTGGGAGTTTTTTGCGCTTTCGGAGCTTTAAAGCTTCCACCAAAAGATCCAAAAGGGAGGTCGTCGAGAAAAACTGTACCACACACCTTCTTGACCGTTGCTTGAAACGACCCTTGCTTCAACTGCTGAGAGTTGAAATGAGTTGAATCAAGGCGCTTCAACTAGGATTTGATTCGACCTACGCAGGCCCTTTGCATTCAAAAACAGCTCGAGTTCTGTCCCAGACGGTATTCGGCGCAGCTAGCTGTAAAGTGCGGACTGGCTTAGCTTGGATTACAGCAAGTTATGCAGAGCCAAAATACGGCTCCGCAAGAGGACGATATCCATCACAGATGGCATGGCCCTGGGCCCCAGAGCGAGAGCGAGCGAGAGCGAGAGCGGGCACGCCCCCTGGGGCGGCCTCCTTCGGGAGGTCAAGTGCGCAGGAAGGAATATCGGGCCGGGTTGGGGGCGAGGGCGGGGGCGGCCGCGGGGGCTTGGGATGGGGTGATGGTCAGCGGAGAAGTCAAGACACATGCCAGGTCTATCGTGCCAGGGATACTGAGAACGGTGAGATCGTGGCCCTAAAGAAGGCCAGTTGGATTCGAGCCCACCTCTCCAAGTCCAAGTTGGATTGATGACAGGTCCGCATCCATGCCGAGAAGGAGGGCTTCCCCAAGAGCTCCCTTCGCGAGATCCGGCTGCTCAAACGGCTCCCAAGAAGTCTATAACAAAAGTTGAACCGGAAAAACTGGTACAGTATTTGTAAGTGCTACAGTGGCGGTATCGTGCCAATCAGTGTTCTTTTCACTGGCATCGGAGGTTGCGGCACCCGAATATCGTGGAGCTGCGCGAGGTAGCTTGTGGCAGGCAGCGTGTCAGGAATTCGACTTGGCTTCACCACTTGGGCATATTATCCACATGAGCTGCGTCCCTTTGTCCAGGCAGCCGGGCAGTGTATTTCTTGTTTTCGAGTACTGCGAGCATGACGTTGGTGCTCTGCTCGAACCTGGGCTGAAGCCGTCGTGCTGCCCGTTCGACTGTTCGACTGCATTTTCGAAGTCCCAGCGAATGGACTTCTTCCGACTCCAAGGATCTCATGGAGCGGCCCTTCAGTGAGGCGGAGGTGAAATGCCTCACGCTCCAGTTGCTGAGGGCACCTTGCAAGCAGAAGCAACCAACGAAGGTAAGCTCTCGACCGCCAGAGTTGGTTGCAGGATACAATAAGTACATAAAAGTACAATAGTGCGACGTATCTGACAGCGATCTTTGGACAACGCCCCAAAAAGCTTACTCACGGATGTTACTCTGTAGCAGCAGACATCCCGAAGCCTCTGGGAGCCTTGAGGCGGTGGAGTGCTTACACGCAGCTTTTGTCATCCACCGCGACATTAAGCTTTCAAACCTCCTTTTGATGCTTGTCTGCACCTGTTCGAAGAGCATGTCGTTCTTGCACTTTGCCCCCGCTGCATGTGCGATTCAGGGCATCATGTGTCTTCTGTGCACCTTTGTGTCTTCTTGATTTCCCGAAACACCCGCAGCTTTGAGACAACGATACTTCGAGGAACAACCGGGGTGTTCTGAAACTGGCAGACTTCGGATTGGCGAGGCGCTGCTTCACGTTGCAACCCAGAAAGCCTTTCCATGTAGGCTCGCTATGTTCCGGTGTGTGTGTGTGTGTGTGTGTGTGTGTGTGTGTGTGTGTGTGTGTGATGGGAGTGGCCTCGCGAACCTAGCGTGCAGAGACGCGCACTGCGCCATTGTGTTTTTCAGGGAGTTCACGGATGTGCAGAAGCCGGTCACCGTGAATGTTGTGACGCTTTGGTACCGAGCTCCGGAGCTGCTGTTTGGTGCCCAGAGCTACACAATGGCCGTGGACATGTGGTCCGTGGGCTGCAACTTTGGAGAGCTGTTGCTGAAACGCCCTCTTCTGCCAGGACTCGCCATGCATTCGCCGTCGTCGTCTTTCACCGTCGTCTTTCACCGTCGTCTCTTGAGAACATTCGAGAACCGAACACAGGGTAGGGTAATTATCATGGCCCTCATGGCCCCTGAAGGAAAGTGTGAGGAGCACCAGCTGCAGCTGACTTGTGCTCTGCTCGGGACGCCCTCGCCGAGGATCTGGCCTGGCCTTGAGCGGCTCCAGCACTACAAAAGCTTCAAACTCCCAGAGAGTACCTACAACAACTTGGGCGTCAAGTTTCCTGATATGCCGGACAGCTGTACCTCGGTGGAAGGGAGTCATGTCGGGTTTAACTTTCAAGCACATGAGATTGCGAGCTTCCCCGGCAACCACTAATTGAAATGGTGCCCCACTTTCCCCACTTGTTTGCGCCCGTTGATGTTGATTAGTGCCCCACTTGCCTCACTTACCCCACTGACCCGGAAGAGCTACTTGACTTTGGCCCACTTGTCACTTGCCCCCCCCCCCTTTCCCTTTCAGGAAGACTTTGGCTGGCCACAATCCATCCCTCCCCCTCCCCCCCCGAAACCCATATGCCTTCAAAGTAAGGGATTGCAGGCCGTGCTTGCCCCCGACACAATATGCGCCTCAAACCGGCTGGTGGGGCAGGTGAGGCAAGCTGGTCAAGCGGGGTCAGTGGGGCGAGTGGGGCAAGCGGGGCAAGTGTGAGAAATTGGTTGGCGGGGCAAGTGGGGCAAGTAGCGCACATCGATTTCCGCTTCCAGACCAGAGCAAGTGGGGCGAGCGGCAGAAACCAGTTAGCAGTGCGCGCTGATTATACATTAGATACGCTGAGAGTATCCAGGCCTTGTACAGACCCTTGTGAAAGAATGAAATCACTATTCATGAAAGTCCACAATGGCACACTGCGGAGATTTGCACAGGCTTGGACCTGCTGAACCGGGCCTTGACCTTCGACCCCGCGAAGCGCGTGACCGCAGCACAGGCCCTGCAGCACCACTGGTTTCTTCAGGCACCGGCGCCGCAGGAACCTCACAACATGCCCACTTGGCGTGAGCATCGCCGCCCGATTGAAGTTTAGTGAGAGCTTTGAGAGCCTTGCCACATGCTGTTACTGTGCTACTCAACTTGGTGGCAATTGGGCAACACTGAAAACATTTTTCCTCGTGACACTCATGCGGCGTAATTTGTGATGTCTCATGCTCTTGGATTTGGGGATCGAAGGGAACTTGCAGGCTCGCCTTTCAACTTGAGGGTTTCCTAATGTTTCCTATTTATGCTTTGGCCTTCGGGGCGGTCATCGGTCGTCGGCCGGATGCCCGAAGATACTCGAAGGCAACGAGACAGCAAATCCGCGCGCCAACCCGGTGGCGCTGGGCCCCGCCAAGCGGCCCGCGCCCCTCGTGGCGCGGTCTGCTGTCTTCGCAGCGGCCAAGAAGATGAAGTCCTGCGTCTTTTGAGAGAAAAGAGCAAGCAGTCAGGGTTTTGTGCCGTCTTTTTGCCATGTAATCTGGCAGCATCTGGCAGCCATGCCTCCAATGTGCAGAGGCGCGTGGCGACTGGCCCTTCCAGACCTGCAGCCAGGTGCCAGTGCTACAATATGCTGTTTCATGTTGTGAGCCGTTTGCCCCCCCAATTGGTAGCAACCAATACGTCCCTGTGCCATAGGGGGACTGCTCTTGCCTTTCGGCTGTTTTCTCGCACGTGCTCAGATCCCTGCAGCATTTGATCGTCTGTAGCTCACAGCGGGACGTAGACCACGAACTCGCGCCGAGAAACATGGCAGGGTCCTTAGTGAATCGGCATGTAGCGCAGGGGGCCGTGGGAAGCTTGATCGCCGAACTTTCAACGAAGGCGGCGATGTTCAGGCCGAGGATGATGCTTTGCAGCTCGGCGTTGTGCTGCTTGTACCCATACTGCCATACACGTGGACCTTGGCAAAAACGTCACGATGAGTCAAGCCTGAATGGTCGCGTCTTGCTTCGCCTCTGCTCCTCGATGATCTTGCTCTGAGTGTAGCTTCATTCGGTGAATCTCCTTTCATCTCCTTTCAAAGGCATCCTGAGCCTGCCTTGCTGGGTAGAAGCATTCGGGGAACAGCCGGAGCCTTGGCTTTGTTGAGCACTTGTACAACGTTACAGCATTCGTTCCGAGCAGGCGCTGGATTCTCAAAAACAGCTTTCTGAAGTACAAGCCGAATCCGCAGTACTGCATGAGTCTGCCGGGGCCCTAGCTGAGCACTTGGGCTTGTAAGGGGTGATGCTCGGTTCGATTCGACAGCATCGTACAAACGACACGTGACAGCGAGTGTAAGGCTGCAAAGGACTCAGGGAAGGAAAGCAACCGCAACAAGAGCACCAGAGTACAGATAAAGGGGGACATAGCAGGCTGTCATTTCTCTCCTTGCTGCCGTTCTTGAGTCTTTGTGAGCAGCATGTCATGAAATGCTTTCGTCATCAGCCCTACCTGCTCATGAGCGTTCAGAAGAAGAGCATGAATTGAACCGTCACACGCTGCTTAACTTCCATCTACGCAACCGATGGAAGGAAAAGCACATCAAGAAACCAAGTGCCAACAAGGTTGAGATAGTTCTTTATCCTCTTGCTTCCTATGATCTTGCCGTGCCTGGTTTCACACTGTTTGCAGATGAAGTGAAAAGCACAGGTACTTTGCGAAATGAGTCATGAAAACACATCAAGTAAGCACAGAACATACCCCAATGGTCCAGTGCGCGGCAGCAGCTCAAGCTTTGTTGGGATTAGCTGCGGGTAGTACAGTTTTTCTTCGTGCTGGATAAACAAGGGCAGGAGGGGCTTAAGTTCGCATGCTTAACACAGGCTGACGATATCGTTAGCAGAACGGAGATTATTGGCTAGGATTGGCTAGGCCCGTCTAGGCAATCAGGGCCAACAAACACCATGAGTACTTGGGCTACTTGGGCTGGAAGGCTTGTGAATGGGAACTCACGAGTACTTAGACTTGTATGAATCAAGGTGGTAAGTATTCCTGAGAGTAATTGAGAGTGCTTCGTTCCTTGTCTCTAAGGCGGGAAGGCAAAGTTGCCAACGGCCACTTGCTGAGCCTTTCGAGCCTTTTTGTCTTTTGGGGCATGTGCATGCTATGCTGAATATGAGATGGTAAAGCCTTTTTCCCTCGATTTCTTGTCGATCTCTTTGAGCTTTCTGACCAAGTGCGGACTAGCGAGGTGTCGATGTCATTCTGTGGCATTGTGTGGGAAGCCAAGTAAGCGGACACCCGCGAAGGTTCAGCCATTTCTAGCCATCTTCAGCTTGCAGTCAGAGTGCATGAACATGCCGAGACCAAAGATGCTGAGCACAAGTTCAAAGTCGCAAGCTCAGACGTTGTACCCTCGCTAAAAGAGGGCGAAGTCAATGAAACCACTGTGTGGGACACTGGAGGTGAACGGCATGTACATCCAGTACGAGGCAGACAATCACGACACAGTCTGCTCCGAAGCAGAAGCAGTTCCGGCGAATACGATGAACCCTCCTTGAAGTGTCACGAAGATGCATGGGCAGACAAGATGACACGATCAACGCTTTCAAAAAACGAGAGCCTAGCAGCCTGGCGGCCTGGCAGGCAGACCCCTCATACTGCCTGAGCGTGCGCGAGGGCAAGGCTTGTGCATGCTCGCGGCATTGTCGGTGCCTTGTCTTGTGAACTTTAGGAGTTGGAAAGCTGCGGGAGGCGGGTGATGGCTCCGACATCATCCTATGGCGCTGCAGTGAGTCCAAAGAGTTCCACTGGGTCTTGCCGGCAAGCTTGGAAGACGTGCATGTGCAAGTGCCCACAGAGAGCCCTCGAACATGCCAGGACGTAGACGGCGAGTTCATCAAGTACAAGGCGAACCCAAGATATGCCATGGCAGTGCCGTGGCCTCGGGCCGTGGCAACTCTGTGAGCTGCGAATTCACGAGGCCAATTCTGGCATGAAGCTTCATTGCGCAGTATTCTGAAGGCGCAATGACAACCCGATGGATGGTGCGGACATCATCCTTTGGACGGTGGTTTCCTCCTCGAGCAAGTGCAATCTGAACAGGCATGTTAGTGTAAGCCAATGTGCATTTCCGAGGGTGGCATGAACGACAAATGGGCATTCGACGGTCCAGACCTGAGATGCATGCAACCCTGCAGTGTTGATGCAGTACTGGTTTCATGTTCGAGGCGGTGTTTGAGTTGAAGCCAAGATCGGCTGTGCTGCCCTGCCTCATTCAGAAACTTCAGGCAAGCTCATCAGGATGGAAACGGATCGCAACAAATGTCTGTCCGTTCGTCTGGAGCCCGGCTACTAAATCAGAGCTGGCTGAATCCAGGGAGTAGCTATGACATGTTACACTGTGGCGGGCCATCTGCTTCGGAGTCTGTGTGAAAGAATCAGCCTGTGCAGAAGCTACTTAGGCCTTCCTGCTGGAGATGGCAGCAAGGTGGCGGCCGACAGGTGTGGAGCTGGGGTCTGGAGGCCAAGCAGGGCAAAGCAAGCGGATTTCGCAGGACAAAGCAACAAAGCCACGCACAGCACGTCAAACACCAGGAAAGCGCCAGTCGACGCCACAGTCCCTCTCAGCCCAGGGCACCGACGTGCGATGGTCCAGAGAGGGCAACCTGATCCGCTGGGAGCCGAATCCGAAGCTGCGGACTCAAAATCCCAGTGAGCTTTGTCATACTTTGACCACGTTCTTCGCTCGTGGGCACTCGTGCGCCCTCGTGCGCGCTCGTGTGCGCTCGTGCGCGCTCGTGTGCGCTCGTGCGCCATGTGCGCTCGAGCGCGCTCGAGAGCGCTCGTCGAGTGCGCACGAGCTCGGTGCAGTGTTTCTGTCGAGTTCTCTACTTTTCTTGAGGTACTGCCTCTCCATCCGGCAAGGCCACTTGATGGCCGGCGGCCCGAGACATGTCCTTAAGCAGAAGAGTCCTCTCCCCATGAGCACCAAAGAGCTGGAGCCGGTCCACACATCTGGCACACACATGGCACACACACGGCACACGCGCTCTCGCACACATTCTCTAAGCTCCGTTCAGAGCCTCAAGCCTAGGATGGTGAAGACATCATCCTTTGGAGTTGCGGCTCTTCGCCGGAGTTCGAGTGGGAGGCCAGATTAGGGGGATCAGGTCTTGTGAAATTGGGGGAAAGAGCTTCGGAGCCCGGAGCCCGGGGCCGATGAGGCGCAGTGTCTCAGTGTTTTGAGGCTTGGCTCCCCCCTAAAACTCCCCTGTTTTCTCGGAGGTGTCTCAGAGCTTCATCAAGCACAAGGCGAATCAGGACCTGCCATTGTCATGGGGTTGGGGCGTTGAAGGATGGTGCAACGAATCGTCCTCCTGCTCGGCCATGCTTAGACTTAGCCATGCACGTCTTTATCAGGACTACTGCCTCTCAGTGCGCATGCACCTCAGATCAGGCCTCCCAACGTGCCCCAGACATGACTCCGCGCCGCGGGCATTCTTGAGACCTTCTGCAGATCCCGATGTACCAAGATCAGGATGTATGATGATCCAAGAAGGCTTGAACTGTAGACGAGGCTGAAAGTAGGCCGAATATTGAGCACCTCGTGGATGG